ACAAGTAATCTAGTGTAAAGGTCACTCGATGGCAATCAAAAATGACCTGAAGGTCAGAGAATTTCATCAGGGTCAATAGATCGATTTCTCCAGTAGTGACATATGTATGGTATGTGTATGTGGTATATGTATGTGTTAACGCATTTCGTTCGGAAGTTCAACACAATTTCTCGTTCAGTCTTGTGTTCTCTCTCGAGTTGTCATTTGGTGGGATCGTAGCACATCGTGAACCAGCATCAGATTTCGGACACCGCACCTCAAAATAAAAAGGTGAGTATTATCGGCCAATTATTATGCCCGAATAACGTACTCCAATTTATTTGAAACAGGAATATTCAGCGCATTATTACTTCCTGATCAAGTAGTGAAGAAACAAAAATTAAGAGGTCTGTAGAATTATAGTCTACTATGATATCAGTACTGCGCTAATAACAGACCTAATCCTAAAATTGTAGACTTGTCATGATATAACTGTCTAATCTATAAGATCTTACGTAAAAGTCATACCATCGTCTACACCAACTCATCGTATCGTAACAATTGCCAATACGTGATGTGGAACAAGCTTAGGCTAGAGAAAGAACAATATATTTAATATGAATAAAAGATATAAGATAACATTCAGCAAGCACCACGCCTGCATGGCCGAGCCATGCCATTCGATCAACTCCAATGAATTTAATTCATTGTTCCCGCTTTTTTCTCGTTGAGTTTTTCACCGTGGTAAATGTTGAATGCCTATTTCCTACATTGTTTCGCACTAGGGCTCAATGCCACTAGAGATCCTTATATTTACTCACTTTTGTTTATTGCAAATCTAGCAAATGCCATTCCTCTAAATGGTTGAGTTTCTATACATCTGAGAGATAGAAAACTTGAGTTTGTTGCACTTACACTTCTCAATTAGAGGATGGTTCATCTTAAAAAGCGGATAAGCCAGTATATTCTGTAGATTGATGTCATCATTTCAAAATCCACGAAGTTTAGCGGGGTCTAGAAGGTTTATAAATACAACCGAAACTTCGTAGGTTACAGAATTTGAACAGGCTTTGGAAGAAATGTTCTACTGGCGAGTAAGTGTTGAAAATATGAAGTAGTTTTAATGGCTTGTTAAATTGTTACGCTTAAGCTGAGTCGCATTCTAAAATATTGGTTTCTAATTTAGTAGACGATTTTGAATTGTCAGTACACAAACTACAGCATTTAGAAACAACTTTCCTGAGTATGGAGAGTAGGTTAGGTTAGGTAGCCTCGAAATGCTGTTCGTCCCCAGTTGTATTTAGTTCTTTTTTATCTGTTGTTCACTAATGTTCAAGAGGTGGTGGCGATATGTTCAGAAGTATTTAGATCGATTCTACTTTATGATAAAGCTGCCGTTTCAAGACTATAAATCTTAAAATACTTTCTACAGTTTGTAGTTTGAGTTTATCCTGGAATACAATGTTTGATTTCTTTGTCTTTAAGACCGATATGTCAAAATGCTTAGCAACTAGGTGGCGCATTCCAACAACTGTATTCTCACTTTATGACAATTAAACCAACCTTGAAGCCATATCGTTTAAGCAAATCCTGTCTAGAATGGAAGGAAGAGGCGGCAATCCGTGACAAGAATAGTCAGTCGGGGACGTTTAAAGCTTATCTCTGTCATAAAATAAACACTAAAATGGTTAGATCAACGTGAGGCTCCTTTATTTACTCTCTGTTGTGGCGTATTATTAGACTTCAGTGCTTTGTACATTCAATGCGGGTGAACTGAATTTTGGACATCCATAGTCTTCTTATCATGGGCCTATGAAGATATTAGCCTTCTGAGGAAAACGTAGAAGACTCAGTTCACATATGTTTAAAGTATAGAGACAGTGATTCTAGTACATACAGCAAATGTCTGTACTTAATGAACAAGCCCAAAGATTCCTTACTAATTATTGAAAATGAGCCATGACTCAACCATCGTCTCTAAAAGATAATAGGAATGAATGACTTTTAGATTGATTGCGTCAAGTGGTTTTCAACATACATAAGTCAGTGAAACGGGTGAAGTCAAGATCTGATGATCGAACTCTATCAAATGAAGTGAGGAAGAAGTCTTTGCCTGTTTTCGAGACTCAAATAGACCAGACTGTCGATAGCGTGTAATGATCTTTGTCTACACAACTATTGTACTGAATCACACTTTGATAAATTTACGATTATATACAAAATTTTCCTATTCAGCTATCTAACTACATTGATTTTGGCCTCATTTGGTTCGTAAGCGTAAATCTATTTGATATTTGTTGCCCAACCTCAAAAGAGTTGGACGAGTTGCATCAAATAGTGTTACATTTTAGTGAAATTCTAAATGCTACTATTATTTTTGACGTTCATTAATGCAGTTTTGGTGGACTTGTTTAATGTGCAACAACACTTAAATCATCTAACCGACTAGTTTAAATAAGTTTAAAAACCTGGTTTATCGATGTGAGTGAACAAATACAAAATGTTTGAAAGCTTTAGAGACTCAAGGTAAAGCTTGCTCGGTGAATGATAGATTTTAGAATATCCCAGTTCGGAACCACGAGTACCATTTAGTTGCTCAAATGATTATTTGCTCGGGCTTACGAACTCATGGTTGATTGTACTGGCATAATCATTGAGCTCATGACCGAAAAATTTCTGCACAATTAGCGTCATTGTCAGGCCTCAGTGACTAGTACGATGTTGGACAGAGGCCATGTCATAGTTTATTTTAGCTTATTTTAAAAGTGGAATTTCGATTCATTCTATAGGATTACAAATAAGGTTGATCACTTTGAGGGTTCCAAAGTAGTGAAAAAGCATAGGATGGTGTGTTGTTGGATGCATATTTAGGTTAGCATATATAAAAATATTTTCCATTTACACAGTAGTCTTTATGTAAGCTTGAAGATGAAAATCAAAGAGACTGATGTGAATTCTGCGTTGTTTTTTAGAATGTTCTATTATTTCTATCATTATTAACGGTTGTTACATGCAGATGCAGGGTGAAAATCTACCAGGTTAGTTGTTGTGAAGATCTATGTGAAAGACAAATATGCATAGAAGAGCAAATGTCGAGCGCCACGAGTGGCAGCGTTTGGTACATGAGACGTTTGTAAGCAAGTCCAAAGGGGTTCTACATATTGGGCCACTATCAAGTGACGAATGATGCTAGAGACTTCGAATTTTTAACATCGAATAAATTGCGTTTGCTAAATGATGAGAGATTTTACAAAAGGAGAAAACAGTACAAATGGACTGTCAGGACATGGAGAAAAAGTACCTAAAATATTAGTTCAAAAATAGGCGATTCAAAAAGTATATAACTACATGTGTGAAATATTTGTTGGTGACCTGAGAAAAATACGCAGATCAGGGTGTAGTAATCGTTCCTAACAAGTGAATTCTAAATAAACGCTTGAAACAGTTTACATCGTCCACATCAGCGAAAACGGATTTTCAGAAACAGAAGATGTGTAGACTAAAATGGCTGATTTATCAGGGATGTCTGAAAGTTTAGTTCCTTAGATGGTTCGATTGATCGCCAGCACGAAGGTTAAGATAGAATATCTCCGCTGCCTAACAATATAAATTCGAATGATTCAGTATCCCATAAGGAAGCGCAAAGTATGAGACGACACATTTTTACATTAGTGTATATATATTATTGTACAGTTTATTAGAACATTTACTGTGTTTCTGAATAATTCGCACTGGAAAGTGTCGAACGGCTAGTGCCATTTGTGGTCACGCTTATTCCAGTCACCTTGCTAGGGAACGTGGTTAAAGAATCATTTATCTTGCCGTGCTTATTAACTAACAATTTGATTATCATTTATTAGTTGTGCTATCGTCTCAAGTCTAGGTCTAGCGATTTGTCTTTGATCGCGTGTTAGAATTAGGTTGAGTCTGTAAGTGTACGTTGAGACAGCAAATATTATATGGAGACTGATCACTTACAGGTGCTAGTGGGAATTTTGTGATGACCTATAACATTTTGTAGCGTTAAATGAGTCCCCAAAATAAATACTTCTGTGAGCTTTCGATATTTGATGCTGACAGCATTAATTTCAGTGGCGCCCAGTCATGCTACTGCGCCAGACCACGAGTTAGTGCTCAGTGTTTCATTTCTCCGACAACCGCTAGTGCTTCAAGCCAGCTATGATTAGTCACTTTTCGATATATCAATATTCTATGAAATAAATCTTCGAGTCTGTTCGCTTCTGACTTCTGATATGACTGGGTTGGCATGTTTCCATTACAAAAGGTGTTGCTGGTTAAGGTGTTGTCAAACTTAAAGTACTTGTGGTATCTTTAGTTGTAAATACGAAATCAGTACAACTTAAGGGCATGTGAATTAAGACATACATAGTTACGAGCTGCAGTGGAAGAGTGCTACAGTTGGACCCTGTTGAAAGGACCAGAACTGAGGTCAGCTTCAGATCACACGTGGTTTTGTCCTCATCCTTTGTCGAGAAAATAGAATAATTGCAGTGAGCTAGTTGTATAAAACCTAAGTTACACTGACGGTTGAAGATGAATGACTTAAGCTGGGTTAGCATGAATATTAAAGGATCTGAGGCTAAATATAACTGCGATAACGATGAAGACTTTTTAAGATGGAGACCTGGGCACAGACACCAGAGAGTAAGCCTTCAGGCTAATACATCAGAAATTAGGCCGTATGCTCATAGTGTTTAGCACCGGTAGGGTTAGTAAGGCAGTGAGGTGAGGTAACACTGTTGAGACAAACATCAATATAGCTGAGAAAAGCCAGATGCAATAATAGGCTATGCCTTACAGTTAGGCTGCAGAGTCATGCTTAGGTCGACAAATCATCGTTCAATGACGCATAAGCGTCAGTGAGCGGCCGTGTGGGACGAGTGAGACACGCATATGTAATGCTGTAAGCTACGCCACCTCCATATAACTCAGTTTATTGGTGATGAAATTGTGTATCTGTTTGTGTCCGTGACTTCTTTTGTACCTTTTCTGTTTCTTCTGTTGTTGGTCTTATCTACCTAAGATGTAACCAAATATAAGTGGTATTTACTAAATAGATAACTAAAAAACATGGATATATTCCATCAATATTTCCAAAAAATTCATAGTGCCAGATTACTTCGTGTATCAAAACATCTGGTGTTTTGAATATGTTGTGTAATATCAAAGCTTGTTTAATTGCGCAGTTTGAAGCAGATCATCTACACCTATTCGATCGATACTATTGAATATCGTGCTCAAGGGAGAAGTATTTTGCTAACGGCGACTAATTTATTAACTTCAAAGTTCACATGTATCAAAAAAGTAAACCATGGGCACTGGTAAAGCATCTGTATTAAAATGTAGTTTATTAAAAAATAATTTAGTTCAGAAATACAGATAAAAGCGAGTATTGCGCATTATTCATGGCAGTTATTTTCGCTACGATAGTTGGAGCCTTACTACCCGTTCATTCTCTTATACTGAGGGGTGTAGTCAATGACTTCACCGAGGAAATTTTTCTCAAAGAAAGCATCTATGTATATTCTAAATGGTTTGCTCTTGTGGGTGTTACAGTGTTATTATTAGCATTCGGTCAAGATTTCTTGATCAATTTGTTCACAATCAGGCAAATTAACCGAATTCGTTCGCTGTATTTCAGAGTAATGTACATTTTCCAGTCTTTTCAAATTATAAATATTTCGGAATAATTTTTTCACTGAACTTTATTGTTCATGTCAGCTGATTTAGTATCTAGGTTGACGTTTACTTTGAAATCAGCGAATGGTTATTTTTTCAAGCGAATCCATAAGGGCTTTTTTCTCTCAGAGATTTATATGTGCTAGTATATAATTGAAAACTCTACTGTTAGTCAAGTTGTAACTTTGTTTAAAATCCATCTACTAGCTTCAACCGTTGTCAAGTTCACTCAATACATTTGAAAATGGAATAAACTGCTGAGAGCAAATATTGAGGTATATTATTGGTTTGTGTAACCACATGTCTGTCTTAATTCACCTACATAGTTTACTTGAAAAGAAAGAAAGTTCTACTTACAATGAATGAAAGTCAATGCTTAATAAATGAACATGGTCTATTATCGTAAAAATATTTCACAACACGTTTGTTTTTGTAACAGATATTTAATCTATCTTGTTATTTACATCAGTGCTAGCAGTAAGTCGACTATGTTTTTTATTATTTACGTTTTCTGGAGCATTATGTTACAGGAATCATTGTTTATATAAAACATGTTAGTATTAGATGACGTATTAATAAGCAGAAATGATAGTCTGGATGAAAACCAACTAAAATAGTGTCTCGCATTCCAAATGCAACTCAAAATGAATTCATTTTACATGCTAATCTCTATGAGATCTAAGAGAGTATGTTTCTTTAACTGCTTCTTGAAAGTTGGTTTTATTTTTTTAAACTACACTGAATGAGCAACTGTAATAACAAATGTTTTCTAGCGCATTCGAATACAGAGTTGGTATTGTATAAGGAATAACTAAATAATACTACATATAGTCCTGAAGTTCATAATCGTTTAGACAAAATTTAGTGTTCAGTAAATTGACTGTCAAGAGGACAGAGTGCTGAAACTTTTATTGTAGCCAAGTTAAGGTCATAGAAAATCTTGCGACTTGGTGATCTAGTGTTTTCGTTAACGAATCTCTCCCAATTCTCATTCGGTAGTTACGGCTGAATAATAAGAAGCTTACTATTAAGTGAAATGTATTTTGAACACATTTTATCTTATTGCTTAGTCTTATGTCAGGTGTTTGGTTTGAAAATATCAGTAAGAAAACTAGGCTTATTCAAACCAGTTAATATAACCTCAAGCTCTATGAACGATTCACGATGACATTGTAGAGGCGTGCAGAAAAACTAGTGATTTAGCAAATAATAGCAAACTTTTCTGAACAAGCTTTAATGTCGGAACGCAAACTAGGTGAGTTCTGCTTTGTTTGGGAATAAAAATTTGTGCTTTAAATAACTGAGGCATAAAATGTTCTGGTTATTTCTCAAAGAAGTAAATTTTCGGTTATTTAATATGCTAATCTGTTTAGATTTAATGAAAACCATTGTCAACTGTTATTTTTCAGAGCATTTTACGCCAGGACGTTGCATGGTTTGATGAACAGTCATCTGGATCACTCATCAGCAAACTATCTCATAACATTGACAACATTCAACTAGGGATGGGTTCAACATTGACCGATTTCATTAAAAACTTGTCTGGATTCATAGTAGGTATTATAATCAACTTCGCAGTGGGGTGGAAACTTGCCTTGGTTGCTTGCGCTATACTGCCCATCATCGGTGCAGTTTTTGGGTGCTTTGGGTTTCTGATGAAATACTTCACCCGTAAGGAAATAGTTGCATACGCACGCGCTGGTGCTGTTGCCGGCGAAGTCCTAGAAGCTATACGCACCGTTGTTGCGTTCGGTGGAGAGAAAAGGGAGTTGAAAAGATACCGTGAGCAACTGGGAACGGCAGAAAAAGCTGGGCTGAAGAAAGTAGTGGCATCAGGTGCAGGTAAGTACCGGCATGTGTAATAACCACAGAACTTGATTTGTTGTCGTTTGAGAAGATTTGCAATCGTTAGTCTGTTCCGCTAACATGTTCAATTAAGAAAAAACGGTTATTATAAAAGTTAGATCGCATATCTCAATCGTAAATATGACTATTTGGATGCAGTATCTGCTCTCACTGTCCTCAGTTATAATCTGTCCTTTTGAAGGATAATGTGCACTTGTTTGTATGTATTACAGACAGCAAATGTCAGGCATTCGATAATTTAGATAAATGATACAAGTATGAGGTAAAAATATTTTGATGAGATTACAGGCTAAAATATGCATGGTTTCATCTATCCTTTATAACTAGATTGCTGATAATGCAGTGGTATCCATCAGCATTACTGTTTGTTAACTGCAGTACGGAAACAATATCAAAAGTCAAACGTTTCACTGAACAACCTGACTAATTTGTCATGTGAATCCAGAATGTCATCAACAGATCAATTTTGTTGGATTGTATGACGATTGGTTGTATTCGAATTAATGTACTAAGAATCCCCGAAATAGTGCAATTCAAGTCAGGTAGAACTGGATTAGCACAAATGAACGTACTACATTTGGAATTCGTAATCAGCGCGCAATCAAGTACAAAGGAATCAACAAAGAGTACAAATGCCACAATTGTCATTCAGAGAAGGATACATATAAGTTGACGTAGCAAGATTAAAGCTTGGGCAAACTAGGGTGGACTCAATTTATTTCAGTCAATTAGTTCCTTTGATGGCTTTTTCGCTAAGTTCTCATCAGTGTATTATCAGCACCCTCATTTTTAATCAGAATTACATAAAAGTTGGCATAATTATGCAAGTGAAATTCGTAAGAATCGAATATGTTCTGATTCCTCTGTGATTGTCACAAGAGAACTTTTATCCTTTCTTATAGACTGGCACAATCAGTGATTGAGACCAGTCAGATGGGATTACGTCCAGTTCCCAAATTCTACTTAAGACCTCAGTTAATCTCATTGCTAATACTGGACCACCATCCTTAAAAATCTCAGGAGTAAACCTGTCAGGGCCTGCTGCTCTCCCTCGTTTCAGATTTCCTATGGCTTTTTCAACTTCGTAAAGGGACGGAGGGCCTACATTAACTTGCCATTCAGGTTGACTAGAGATCGTGGGAAACCGAAGTGTGGCTGAAGGCCAGTTTAACTGATCCCTAAAGTGTTCTGTCCATCGATCCAATCTCCTGGATTGAGAATGTATAATATGTCCATCTTTCTCTGAGATTGTTTCGCTAACGGTCAGGTTCCTAATTCCGGTTTCCTTAACAAGTCTGGACAGTTGTCTGCTGTTACCTATTTCAGCTGTCTTTTCCATCTTTCTTGCTTTCGCTACCCATCACTGTTCGCCATCATTGCGTATGTTTCTTATCAGTCTGCGCTTAAGCTGACTCCGCTCTTTATTATGTTCAGAGCCAGATGGGATGAGTTTTCGAGCATCTGTCAGTGCGGTAGATGCTTCTGAGATCCAGTGTTGCTCCCAAACCTCATGGTTTACCGTACTAGCAGATATCACTGCTGTTTTAAAGATATGACGTTTCTTGCTTGCACATCAGAATAAGAGGACTTTGGAGTCGTGCATAATTTCACCCACTTCTGTTCCGTAGTTGACACGTTATCAAGCACTCCGTTAGAACTGTCGTCAGTGATCAATAAGGAAAAGCTGTTCCTCAAACATTCTTAAATTTTCTAGGCCCAGGATAGATGGTCCACAATCAGTGATAAGGAATTCACAATTTACGATTGAAGATTTATCGCCTCTAATCAACAAATTACAACATCCAGGAGCCATTCATACAATAAAAAGTTATCTATATCATTGTACCACTAATATTGTTGTGCTTGTAGGAATATGTACGTCTGAGCGTTGCATACCGCCTACACACATATTCATTCTGCTAGCTTTAATGTTAGTCACCTAATTGATTCGATGATTCACTCATTTCCCTATGTATATATACATGTACATTTTAATCCTGTTATTGACTCGCTCATTCGACTCGCTCGCTCACTCGCTTGCCCGCTTGCTTTTCGGCACTACTCTTTTATGCTTGCATAGCATAATTGTAATTTTGGTTATCTGTGAGTGGTGTAATAATTAACTTAATCAATACTTCTTATTCGCCTTCTGATTAATACACCGTTGGGGCGTTATCTAGTGACGGTTATCAGAACGAACTGTAAACGAAGTTTAAGGGTTTGTAAGAAGTGAATATGTTCTGACTTCCTTCAAATCAAGAAAAGAACGTTGGTCAAGTATATTGAGGTTTTGTAGGTTCGTATACTTCTAACTAAAAAGTAGGTACTCCATGTCTATGAAAGATTTCGGAGAAAACTTTACAGAATAATGAAATTATTCCAAAACTACTCAATCGTGCACATTTGATGGAGGAAATTTTAATTTTATTGGTTTGCAATAAAGAGGAGAAGCGAATGTGTACATGTTATGCAATTCAATACTGTACTATGAATTACTGACTTGTGATTTTTCCTACTTTTAGTTAATGGGACAATTGGACTGACTGTGTTTTGTTCTACTGCTCTACTATTTTGGTATGGCTTTAAATTAATAGTAAATGAAGATTATGACGCTGGAGCTATTGTGACGGTATGTAATCTTAGTATTTTTTATGCCAAACAGTGATTTGACATAAATCTCGAAATCTACTATGATAAGATTAAGAGGGAGGCTTTTTAAGAATAAGTTGTTTAAAACAAAATCCCGATTCCAGTAATTAGTGAAGCAATGTGCTTGGCATTTTATTCACACATCTTTAGATCCCCATACAATATATTGAATGGGAAGATCATTACTCTGGAATGTTTGCATTTCATAATGTTTATGAGTTATCATCAGAGATGAAAATATGTCATTTCTAAAGTGAACTTAATTTTGAAAATATTGTTTCTTAATAATCACGAAGTCTAAGTCCCTTAATAAAACAATTCATATAGTCCAATTTCTTTCTATTCTTAAGATCAAATTATTTTCGTTACCTTTGAATCTCCTCAGGTAGTCCGGAAAAAAACAGCCATAGAGTTTGGCAGTATATGTTTAGCAATTCGACGTAACCTGTTGATTGCAAAATAGTTGTAGTTGTTTGTTATAATTCACAAAACAGTAAACATCTGCACTAATTTTTTTCTTTGTCAATGTCAAATCAAGCTACCTACATAATAATCGTTATGATAAATGCATGTGATGTCCAATGTATAAAATTAAACAGTACTATAAGTTTGTTTGTTTATTGAATCCATATCCCAAAATACGTTTTACCGGATGAAAATTTTTCACTGAAAAAAGTAAATATTTGAGCAATGTATTTCTTTATTACACAGCTGAAAATCTTACGAAAGATTACATTTCACCTTTTACGTTTATAATTTACGGTCATTATTTTAGGTATGTCCAATAAATTATTCGATTACAATCTGATGAGAGAATCGTTTAAGGCTTGTATTTAAGAGGTAACTGCATGTGTTTTAAGAAGAAACGAGTGAGAATTCAGAATTGAAAATGACCGTTCAGTATATTCATCACCTGTATATCTTAGTAACACGTCAAATTGAAACTTCTATAGTTTTCACTCATTATTGCTATGCCTTTCCAGATTTTCGTGAATGTTCTTCTAGGAAGTGTTTTTCTGGGTAACGCTCTACCAAGTTTTCAATATTTTATGAACGCACAGGAGTCAGCCACTGAAATTTACAGTATCATCGAGCGTGTGAGTTTATCCTACAACTTATCTTGTAAAGTTGTTTAGATGTCATTGATCAATTGTTTTATGATAGCTTTATAAGAAATATTCCCTTACATGCTCACTGGTCATTCATTTGAGAAATATTGAAGAAATATTTCCTCGTCTACAATTTCAAGCTTAAATTAATGACGGTAACAAAGTACAGGCTTCGAGATGAAAGCTACTATTATGTTCCATTTACAATAATATAAAATGGGAAATAGCCGACTGATTATTAACGTTCTTCAGCACTAGTAGATCGAAATAGAAACTTTGATTGTTGAAAATAAAATGCACGTCGATTGTGATTACCTTTGTTCTCTGAAAGTGACTGGATTTTCTTTTGGATGTCTGACAATGGAAACAGTAACCAACACTACAGTAACTCCATATTTGGAATTGTGATAAGACTGGCGTTCACACTTTAAGGATATCTACATCTGTTTTGAAACAACCTATTTTGTGATGTTAAACGTTTGTAATTGTTCAAAACACAGGGTTTGTAGAAAATGTAGCTACGGTTCTGTGTCACAAATACAAAAACGGTGTGAGATTTTATGAGATCACAGCAGGAAGTTAGAGGGACAAATAATGAAGACATGCGTGTTATGAATAGAACAATGTTTGGTCATTTGTTACTTCACATAAGTCTTTAGATAACAGTTACTGATGTTGATATCCAGTGCATTTAAAGTACGGATTACCGGATAATTCATTGTGGAGCTCTGCTAAGCCCTTTGAGATATTGATCCATATTTGAGGTGAATTGTTTCCTGAACTTTAATGATACACTGTTCCAAATTAATGAATTTGTTTGTAATTTCGTGCAGCATGCAATGGGATTGAATTGTCTATCATTTTTATTTTTTTTCCTTCCGGGCAAACTGCCGACATATTCAGATTTGTTGTAGCTTGTTAGGAAGTCACTAACTACTTTATACCCACTACTTTATTTCAGGTCCCGGAAATTGACAAAGACTGTCACGGAAGGCTGATTCCGAACTTTTCTGGGAACGTCACATTCAGAAATGTTTCTTTCGCATACCCAAGTCGACCAGATATTGCAGTGAGTAAATCAGAATCTCTGCTAATGTGTAAGTTTAGTAACTTTCAAAAGATGACTGAAGTAAGTTGTCGTGGATGGAGAGATATTGAAAAATATGTTCTTCCAGATTCTGTACTGTTTTAAACCACCCAGGAAGTGATCAAACATAACTACACTATTAGTTTTTCAATAAGATGTTTGCATAAATCGCAAGTTGGATGTATGGACATGTTTTTTGAAATAATATTATTGTACACCGTCTTGGGTAATCTTCAGTTGAAAACACATCACTCACTAAGTCAATATAAGATCTGAAGTTTATTGATATGCTTTAGTGTCTCATCGCTTTTTCTCAGCCAGTGGTTATACATGATTTTTGGGAAATTTTATAGAGATACAAGTGAAAAGATATCTATGTTTCCATACTAAACTGATGCCGGTATCACCACTCGGTCTATGCATACATATATTGTTACATTAACATGACGGTAAACCAGTGACAGGAACAATCGTCTCGTGAATAGCTTTTCCTGCGTTTTATTTATAGGTGTCATCTCATAAATTAGCATAGATTATCTCCTGTATTATTTAATGAACAACACCAGAAATATTCCCTTTCATCGTTTTACACTGGTTGGCGATAAGAGCATATGAGATGTCAATGAAAAAACGTTTATCCCTTTACTTTTAAATGCAATTAAGTTTTACTTAATTTGAGTGCACCGTCTGCTATATACGTGTGTACTAACTCTACTTTGTAGGTTTTAAAGAATTTTAGTTTAAGCATCAAAAGTGGGCAAACTGTGGCATTGGTTGGACCGAGCGGTTCAGGGAAAAGTACCGTTGTTCATATGTTGCAAAGATTTTATGACCCAATGAAAGGCGAGGTATGCAGTACTTTGAAGTAGCTTCATTTTGATATGTTTTTACAGGTTTCATTAGAAGATGTGTCTATGCAGTATGTGTGCTTTCTAAACAAGGGTGGTTACTTCCCACTCTGACAATGAGTTTTATAACTGAAATGTCCCATAAACTTGAGACATGATTCATCTCATTAACACATGTAAATAGAGGATGAAAGACTTATCCAAGTGACTAGTGCGTTTCCACTAATAAAAATGCTTATCCACGGTAATGAAATTTCATGAATATATTCCTGAAGCGATCTAAATACATATTCTGTAATAAATTACTCATCGATAGTTGAATTAGTTGGCCATTTTCATTGAACAACACACATGTTTTCAGTTAGATCGTCATTAGGATTTGCTTCAGTATTTAGCAGTGCTTTTGTGTGTATGTGAAAACCAATAAGCCGACAAACGGAGTTTATGAGTCAATTATAACAATAAAGTAGACTACATAGGCAAAAGTACGAATTAATGATTAGCTGATGGGTATATTAGTAATAATAAGAATAGTGATTTCGATAGAAGTATGAATCGGCGTTTCAATACTGGTTATAGGTCAAAAGGTAAAAGAATAAGTTTTAAGATTAAAGTCAACAAAACTAAACAATAATAATTGTTTAACTAGTCAGATACTTGAAAATATATGCGAAAGGGAGTAAAGAAAAACAAACAGATAATGGATGTTGAAAGTTACAAAATCGTTTGTGAAGTTCTATTCGATCAAGGGAGAGAGTTCTAGATACTAGAGCTATTTTTAATTTCAACAACTGGAAGTTTTGCAAATACTATTTTCTTTGTAATTTCTTCCATACACTGTCCCGACAACTGTGAAACCACTCTTTTGAATCCGGGCAAACTTTCTGACAAAATTATTTTATTTTGTTTCGTTATTTAATTACCGGTATGCAATTTTAGTATCACCGTTAATCTAAACATGTTGTATTACATTTGGTGTTTTAGGTATTAGTCGAGGATGAGGACATCAAGAATCTGGACCTGAAAGCTTATCGTAATCAGATAGGCTGTGTACAGCAAGAACCGGTACTTTTCGAAGGAACTATCAGTGATAACATAAGGTTAGGGAAGCTGGATGCAACTCAAGATGAGATAGAAGAAGCTGCAAAGCTTGCCAACGCTCACGGTTTCATTCAACAACTCCCAGATGTAAGCCATCTCAACAATGTTGAAATTTAGGCCATTTACCAGAAGTAATATTATCTACTCAACTAAAATTTGAACTGTTATCATTTTATGAATTCAGGGATACGACACTTTTGTTGGTGAGCGAGGTGGCAGAATGTCAGGTGGTCAGAAGCAACGTATAGCAATCGCTCGAGCTCTGATTAGAAAGCCGAAGTTGCTGCTGTTGGATGAAGCAACGTCCTCACTTGACGCAAAATCAGAACGTCTTGTCCAAATGGCTTTGGATAGAGCGGTTGAGGGGAGGACTGTGGTAGTTGTTGCTCATCGTCTTACAACAGTTCGTAATGCGAATTTGATAGTCGTGCTTGATAAGGGAGTGGTTCGCGAATCTGGGACACACGCTGAACTTGTGGCTGAAAACGGTCTTTATGCTGCGATGCTTAGTAATCAGGTACGTTCAAATTTCTCCAGACTAGTATTGCTCAAAGCGTTTTGGCGTGTGCTTGAATCATTTTACGATAGATTATCATGATAAACTGGTGGATACTAATAACGAAACGTCTTATATGTTTGTCTAAGAAGTGGCACTTTTATAAAATTTTACTTTAAAAATTTCATTTTATTATTTGCATTTTAAACTAATATGGCTAAATTATACTTAGAATAGAGTGGTATCTGTAAGCTATGTTTTTTTTGTAGGCGCAAAGTTTGTGTTGCACAGAAAGATAATCAACTATTAAATTAACTAAAACTACTATGCATAAGTTTTGAATTGAAACACAACAGTATCGTTTGCAAAACTTTGATCTGGTTTATATTAGTGCCATCATTGTTATTCCGCAACTGTTAATCTGCAACTGAAAGAAGTTTGAAGTAAATAGGTTTTTTTTTAATTGTGGTTAAGAAATACCACCTTTGTTAATATTTACGAAGAGAGTAATTACTTGTTGTGGGTTGTGTAAGTTGACCATACTGGATTAAGAGTTTACCATAGGACTAGATTATTGTATTTGACACTTTCATAAATAATTAAACATCAAATATATTTCATTCAGAGAATACTGGAAAGTGCTGAGAACGATGACAGTGAATTATTGGATGAAGGATCTCGAAATAAATATATCGTCAGTGGAAAAGAATTGTTGACGAAATTAGACGATATTTGTAAAATGGATAATGGTGAGGATGTAAGTAACTTTGTTTTAAAAATTAATTTTAATATGCTTGTTCTGCCATAAAATGTTTCTCAGGATTCACATATAATTCAAACCGATTTCTCGTTTTCATTGAAATTACATTGAAACATCATTAGCGAATATACTTTAAGATTGATTTTCTCACAAATTGCTTGAACTTATGTATAGTTTAAAGATTCCGCTTACTAAACAGGAAGTGATAGATTGTTACAAAGTGTAGTTGTAAATTCAAATATTCTGATGAAATATGGGATACTGTTTGTTTCTTCTCGATCTGCGGCTGTTTGACCACGTACATCCACAATTTGACATAATATTACAAACGTGTGTGTTTAATGATTGTGTAATTTTTATCAGTCTTTGGTGAAAATGATGTCAACCTAATATTTTCAAATACTATAGTAAAACATTGAGCAAACCTCTGAATAACAGTAGTCTGTGGAATAATAGTTATAAGTAATCAAAAATAACACAATGTTCTTGAATAACACGTTCAAATGATTTCACATGTGCGTGTCATTTATTTCATTTGTTTGTGTAGAGTGTATCTGAAACCATTGGAAATGTTCCATACGGGAATTTTTCCCTTATTTCAACAATTTCGATTCTACGTAATCAAGTAAGTTTTATATTTAATCGAGTTTAGATTGATAATTATTATGATGTTTCAGTGTAATGTCAATGTGTAGTATTTGAAGTAAATGTGATTGGTCACTGAGTGTGGACAAACAGACACTCGACTTACTATTAAATATTGCAATGTCCACGAGTTCCCACACTGATATTAATTATGTGATTTCTTTACTACTTATTGATTTCCATGAGAATGATGGCTTGTAACTGTGTGAAATAAGTATTATCTATCGTGACTCTGGTTTTCTGTTCTTGGTCGTGAATTTTGTATCTGATATGTGATCTAGTCTCTGTTTTGTGTGTAACGGATCGTCCAAGTATCCAATGTTGTGGCATTATAAACTCGGTCACACAGACCCGTCTTATTTTCATATTATTGTAATAGCGTAATATACCTCAGAGAGATTAAAAGTCTATATTCGAACGAGCTTTTTTGTTTAAGCAATTTTGTTATTGTTCCTTTTGTCTGAGGTTTGGGATTTCTGTTCTGAAAGATTTCATAAACTATCCTCTACTGGCCCTTAAATTGTACACCAGTAAAAAGAATGATTATTGTTTCCAAGGTCTTGACATTTTACGCATGAACATCAGAATAAGAAAGTTTTGGAACTATACTGAAATATATTCAGTACGCCCATTAGAATGATGCATGACTAAATGATATGTACGTTTAGCTATTCAGTTAGTATTTTGAACTATCTGCAGTTCACATTTTATTTCAGGCGATAGTCGTTTCACTACAATTCTGCCATTATTTAAATTATTTTATTCATGCAGATGTGTTACGGGAATCGCCAGTTAATTATGATGATTAGAAGTAATCGAACTGATGCGCTAACTAAGAATTCCCAGAAAGGTTCAATTTAAAGCTGATAGAACTCCATGAAGATAACTGAACGAATTATATGTTTGGAATCGGAATTAGCCGTTAAATAAAATACAAATATGCACGATTGAGTAGTTTTGGAATAATTTCATTATTCTGTAAAGTTTTCTCCGAAATCTTTCATAGATATGGAGTACCTACTTTTTAGTTAGAAGTATACGAACCTATAAAACCTCAATATACTTGAGCATCGTTCTTTTCTTGATTTGAAGGAAGTCAGAACATATTCAATTCTTACGAATTTCACTTGCATAATTATGCCAACTTTTATGTAATTCTGATTAGAAAATGAGAGTGCTTATAATACACTGATGAGAATGTAGCGAAAAAAACATCAAAGGAAATAAATTGAGTCCACGCTAGTTTGCCCAAGCCTTAATCTTGCTACGTCAACTTATATGTATCCTTCTCTGAATGACAATTGTGGCATTTGTACTCATTGTTGATTCCTTTGTAGTTGATTGAGCGCTGATTACGAATTCCAAATATAGTACGTTCATTTGTGCTAATCCAGTTCTACCTGACTTGAATTGCACTATTTCGGGGATTCTTAGTACATTAATTCGAATACTCTTGATTATTATATCTACTTCTTTCATAAGTAGGAATCGCACACTCATTTCAAGACTACGATACATCTGAATTGTAGAAATATAATTACCAAAGTATTGTATATATTCCCAAATTCCAAGCAGCTATAATTTATCCCCATTGCATGAAGTGAAAGGTAATAAAGGGTATCTTAATTTTATTAATATCAGTAAAGCGAAAACATTACCTATTCGCATAGACCTACTGCTCTCAAGTGGCACATGAGGCGACCAGAAGTATCCAGCCAATTCTACCCTATGCACTTCTTTCCAGATATTACCACGTTCTATTCATCAACTTGGTGCCTGTCTTCATCCCTGGCGTCATGTTTTCTTTGTTCTACCTCGTTTCCTGTTCCCTTGTATATTGTAGTGTGAGGCTTGCTTTTTGGTGCAGTTCAATCGTTTCCCCCCAGGTGTATTCTATTTACCGAGGAGATTTTTCATAATTTTTTCTTCAGCAGGTGATAGGTTTGTTGTCTGCCACAAAGGTTATTGCAGACAAGCTCTGCAATGGATCTGAAGTATTTTGAGTCTGAAGCTGTTTGCATATATTTTTACAATTTGGTAATGATTTTATCTCTTCAGGTTTCATCTATGTATAATAAAAATTTTGACGTTAGTGCTGGGGTACAGTTGTTCTGAATTATGGATATTTAGTTGTAGGAATGTTACCCTTGTACTGTCAGTTTACGCTTTGATATCTTAATCGGATCATTCTTATTTACTGATGATACTGCTTAGGTACGTGAAGAATTCAATATCTCCCAGAATTTTGTTATCAAATGTGATTTGTTTAGTGCTCACTATGTTGTACTTCAGGATCTTGCTTTTCCAATTGTGTATGCTGAGCTTTACTGTTGTGGAAGCCAATGTAGCACTGACTATTTTTGCCTACATTTGATACTTTATGCGACATAGAAAGGCTTAGTCATCTGCAAAGTTCAAGTCATTCAACTACGTTCACGGCATCCACTGCGTCCCGTGCTTTCCCGGAATTTGTAAGTTTTCATAGTCCAGTCAATAACCAGAGGAAAGGGAAGCGACAATAAACTAACAGCCTTCACTTCTAATGTACCCCTGAATTACGCCCTATGCATGACTTTGTACTACAATCCGTCGTAAGAGTTGCGTGTGGTGGTGGCGATCTTTTAAGGTACTCCATAGTGTCAAAGACGGTTTCATAAGGTTCTCCTCTCCATTATTGGTGATTATTGGTGATGAGTTCAATTCATTTGATTGTTCAATAGTGTATACAGTGTAATGATTCTGTCGGTTAATGATTTATCCTTATAAGAGATAACTTGTTGATATGGATAATGAGGGTCTACTCAATCGTTCGTTCGTTTCAGCAACTCTTAGTTGCGAACTTTGTCGAGCACTAACAACAGTGTGATCCTTCTGTATTATTCACATTTATTAGGATCTAATTTCTGCATTTTGATGAAGTATTGCATTTTTCGGTCTACTAATACGCCTTATTCCGCCCAAATCTTTCCGAAGAGTACATGGATCATCTTTGCAGTCACCTGTATACCTGATTTAGTGTCTTAGTTGGTATGCTGTTTGCCCCTGCTACTTTGTCACTCTTGATTTGTATGATGTTCTTGCTATTTTCTTCGGTTGTTATTGTGATATCATTTTCAGAGACGCCCGTGTATGCTACAGTGATTTCTCGGGGACTCACTGGAGCCGGTCTATTCAAGTGTTCTTCATAGCACTCTATTCACCTGTCCCACTGCTCATGAACCTCAGTAATCGGTTTGTCTTTCTTGATTTTGACCGGTCACTCCAGCTTACTGTTTTCCTTCTAGGGTCTTCGCTGTATCATATGGTTTGCTCGTATTTCTTGCTGTCGTCTCCAGGCCTTCAGCATATTTCCTCTTGTCAGCTTTCATACTATTTTTTCATTTGTTTGTTCGCTTCTGTATATTCAGCCTATGCCTTGGCTTTCTCTGCTCTCCTTCTGCTGTTGGTTATCGCTTAGATTATCGATAGAGATTCATTTTTCATGATGTAGCTTCTTAGAGCTCAACATGTGACATGTTTAAGTAATTCATTAATCAATTCCCAGCTGTTCTCCATAGTCGTTTTCCTTTCTTTTGCTAGACCTTGTAAGGCTTGGAGCTGTTTGCTGAAAGTTGACTGAAACTTGCTAAGCTCTCTAACGGTTTGAAACAGCATTGTGCTAAAATTTCATAGTTCTGTTTGTTCAACTGCCAAATCTTCTCTTACTTCGATATTAGCTTGGCTGCCATCAAGTGATCTAAAGTAATACCTTATCTTTTATTTGTTCTTACATATTCAATGAACCTTCTGAATGTTTTTTGGCGCAGATGTGATCGATCTATTTTTCCTTGGTGTGATCAAAGGAAAGTGATGTAGCTTTGCGTATGAATTTGTGAGAAGGAATTTTTTAACCCGTGATCATGTTAAAAGGACACAATTAACAGCCTCTTACCATTCTCGTTTCCACTCCTCACTCCATGCTGTTCTATGATTCGTCAATGCCAAGCGGTCATCATCCTTGTCAGGATAATCAGGGACTTTCCTGAGCATTTCTATAGAGTGTACTACATCTCACAAGACTGTTCTTTGTCATCTTTACCAATATCGTTTCTGGGTACATAACACTATATGATGTTTGTTGTAGTCCTTTCCTTCTTTTATTTGAAGAATGTGTTGGTTATCGTGAAAACATGGTTTTTCGTAATATAAGCGCTTTTTGTAAATCTCTAAACGGTATCAGCGCAATTTTTGTATATGTTATACATTTTATTCTGGATGATTAGAATTCAACATCTTTCATGAGATATGTCTTTTCTGTTCAGAATGTGTTCAATGAGTTCCACTTGTCCTAATCAAAGTCAGGATGTACCTTATCGTTTGCAAAGCTATTTGATCTTCTAGTTCTCGTACATTGTTCGGACACTCCACGTCCCTACATTATTTGTTGCCCTAGTTGTCAGAACAGACATTGGCCTCGTGGCTTTCAAGGATTCGTGGTTATCACCGTGAGGCGTTATCACCCTTCTATATGAAGACCCGTGAACTACTAGAACAAGGTTTAAATATGGACACTTATTATCTTTGATGACCATTTTCCTAGTGTGTTTCTTTTCTGGGAAATGGATTTAAAAACCCTAATCCTAACTCTTTTATATACAATCTTGAGATCTGTGGTAACCTTAGAAGAGCTTCAGCTGGAGTTAGAACACATATACCTCAAGGAAAATAGACTTTATACTTTACCCTTCGTATCCGTTTCCGTATAATATAAGCCATCTTTAAATATTTCTATCAATTACGATGTTAAAAATTAAGTTAACAGAATTTTGATGTGGTTATGGGTAATGATTTTTCATTGATTTCAGTATAACACACTGAGGCAAATATACTTAATCAATTATTTTTTGTCTCTGAGCTATTGGGTAACCATTTTGTCAACAAATGAGTTGTACGTCATGAAGCATAACTAATGCATAATTCACTTCAACTTTTCTTTTTTCAGAGAAAAAATATCAAGCTTTCTCCGACATTAAGGGTTTTAAAACTTAATAGACCTGAACTACATCTGATAGTTTTAGGATGTATTTGCTGTGTAATTAGTGGAACCACTCAACCAGCTTTTGCGATTCTGTATACTGAAATGTATAGTGTAAGTACGCTTATAATTCACTGTTTGATTATTATTTGTTCTGGTAAAACCAAATGATTAATAAATTTTTATTTCAGCTCTAACTCATTTCGGTTGTTATTAGTTGTAATGATGAAACATGTGATTGACATTTCATAAAACTGACATCATAAACCGTTTATCTCATAATAATCTAATTTTATATACATACATATTTCTGGCTTAAGGGACTGATTAGGTTGGAGAAATGGATGAATCTGATGTTGTATGAATTAGTCAATGAACATAATTGTTGAATGAGATTAAATGTTCAATGAGCTTTATTCGATATTGTCTGTTTCATACTGTGACGTCGCATATATGTGTGCATTCTCGACACAATAACTAGTCAAAAAAATACCTGAAAGTTCAAATTTGTTATTCGTATTTAAAGGTTGACGCAAACGAATAAATTAAAAATGCCATGGAAACTGGAAGTGGATTGCTCAAAATGGCGATATAAATTTTAAAAGGTTTTAACTATGTTTATACCGACAAATGTTGGTAAAGACACGTTTCCAGTTAGTATTTGTTTGAGAAGAGAAGGGTCTTCAACGCTAATGTCAAGAGTGAAAACGTCTTGATTGCAAGCTGATGATAACAAACGAATTATTCTTTCTGTTGATAAGCATCGAGCTGGAGAGTCTTGTGAACTTATTATTCCAAACGGATTTTCTTTAATATTCCACCAGTTGTTTCCGTTTTAACGGGATAGAAAATGCAATTTTAACACATTTTCTTCCTCATGAATATGCAGATAAAATCATTCAGCTTTGTAGATTTTTAACTGAAGAATCTAATCAGGATAATTTCTAGGAGAATCGGTAATCACTTATGGAAAAAGGATTATAATTTGGTTGCATGAAATGCAATTAACGAAATCAGTAGTAAGTGACACATTATTATAGAAACAAATGCAGTGATGAATAAAATAATATTCGGATCTAAATTCTTCGTTAAATCTTTCGAAAATATGACTCGACCTAAAGAAATCAACAGAAATCTCGTATTGAATTGTCATAAAATATACGTTTTCGGATAAATGTGATGTTCTTCGACTGTAGTAACTCATTAAGACATAAGAGTAACACATCTGGATATAACTGCTTACTTGGCGTAGATGAAGGTGATCTAATGTAAACCTTATGTAACAAGAAGCGGACAATATCCATGGAATGGAAGCACAGTTGCAGTACAAGTCATTTTCAGTGTAATTAATAGTTGCGATTAATTTAGCAAATACAAATTTACCAAGAAAAATATACACTTTTTGCCATACACATATAATATTACTTTTCTGGAGAATTGTCTACCAGTTGCATTGTGTAACAGTAACACTTGTGAAATTACCCATTTTAGATTTTTCCTTTGCGATCTAATCCAGATCTGCTGTTTAGTCGACTCACTGTTGTATGTGGGATGATGGTGGTGATTGGAATTCTACGTTTTGTAGCTAATGTCAGTCAGGTAGCATTAAAAACTCAAGTTTTTATATTCGTAGTTTATTGTGTTACGAACATTTCTTCTTTTTATGTATGTTAAATAACATAAATTGACGTAGATATTATTTTGTATGTTGAATGTCTGTGTCCGCATTCGTCCCATTTATTCTCTGAATTTTGCAGTCGTACAAATCAAATTAAAATAATGTTTTTTTTCGTAATAAATAGTTCAATGGTCACTTACCTTTATATGGTTAATTCTGCAAAGATGACATCTTTAATATAATGTTGCTTTTTTGATACACAATAGACAAGATCAATTTGAAATGGTGTCTATTTACTCAAATAATGAAACACTGATTATTCGTATTACTAAAACTCTATTGTTCAATTGGAGTATACATTTCTATAGTATAATAAGAAGACGACGAAAAAATTTTCAAAAGGGGTGAAAAAAAAGAAAACCGCCGTTCGTTTAACGATATTCAAGATTATCAGAACTATGTGATATATTAGCGCAATACATTTCGAACAATCTGATCACATAAATACTTAAATAAGAACTTTCGTCTAAATTTGAACGAATTGTTTCACAATATTTGGGTGCCGAGTTAATGTGAGACATTAAAAAGAAGAATATATTTGTAAAATCTCAGCGAATGAATTTTAAGTAAATCCAACGTTTCGCCTGGCAATCTGGTCCAAGCTTTTTCAAGGAAAATATAATCAAACAACAAAATTATCGAATATAAATAGGTACCATGGTCGTTCGGTTTACTGTATATTGAATAAGTCATCCAATCAACGTGAAGGATTTTTTTATAAATAGGTATTTGTATTAATATGTAAGAGACATGTTTATATGAAAACAATAATTCGAATCCCTCGGGGGGCGGGTTCGTGGATGCGCACTGCTGAGGAGTCCCATACTAGGACGAAACGGCCGTCCAGTGCTACCAGGTTTTCCATGGTGGTCTAGCTTCAATTAGCTCATGATTTCAACTTGTGAAATTTCTAAAAATCTCCACAAAACCCATTTTGATAAAAATTAAAGTTCATTTGATAATAAGTTAATATTACGAGGGTAGGTTTAAGGTGAGAACAAACCATTTTTGAATAAACAGAGGGGGTTTGAATTTTCGTATGGCTAAGGCTTCAATAAACCTTAGTAATATGCCCTTTTACACTTTTGTACAACACCACAAAAGTCGAGTTAAGATCAATCTTATAACCTGTTCCAATTATGCGTTTGGCAATAGAGGATGATGGATTTTTATTCTCTACTCTTATTGGGTCATTCAATTCTATTTGTTTCCGTAACCATTTCGGTACATGCTCACACACCCTAGTTTTGAGATCACGATGACTCCTCCCTATGTATGTGTGACCACACACATTTAAATTGGTAAACACAGTGTATGTGACGCAATCGTTTTCTTGCCTTTTAGGTTATTGATGAAGTATGAACCTTGTTGTTTCCTTGATAATGACCTTTGCTGCATAATACGTATTGTTAATGACTGGTTTAAGCCTTTTTTTTCAATAAAAGGTTATTTGAATCATCTATAAGTGGTAAGGTGATGTAGACAGGTATTTTTTCTGCCAATGTTGTATCATGAACTTTCTATCTGTTTACGAGCTTAAGGGGATAGCCATTTCGCATCAATGTTTTATTTAGCAACTTAACATATTTCTGATTATTAACGTAAATATTTTCGGTTTGACTACCTCTGGTTTGATTAGATTTAATGTTTTTTAAAATGATTTGGAATCTAAGTATAATTTGTAGAACTGCATTATGTTATAACACAACACATTTATGTAAAATCTAAATTGACTGTACCTCGCATTTCAGTTTAATGTTACAGTAATTTGTTAAGTCGCGTTACAAATTCCTTTGAATTCATGTAACTTAGCCGTTCTTTCAAGTGGAATTTAAACCAACTGATGAGTATATAGACAAGCCGACCAATATTTATACTTCTCATCTAATTATTTAGCATTACCATATTCATTAATGTTTCATATATGTAAGACTAAATAATTTTCAGAAAAGTCAGGGAACCATGTTCATTTCTTCAAATTTGTTAATGTAATTGCGTAATTGTATCCTCTCACGTTGGATGTTATTCAGCACAACTGTTTTGGATTTTTACAAGATTGAACTAAAGTTACTGAAGATAACTTTCTTTTTATAGTACTTTGCATCTACACCAAAGTTATGTTAAAGCTTCTGGATCAGATCACTAGTAATTATGTTTCCAGAATGTTGACTGTCAACACCACAGCTTTTTATTACATTGAGGAAATTTATTTCCCTTGAAGTTGGACATGTTACCCTGTATATAAATTCCAAAACAAGATTTGTCTTGACTGAATTGATCTTATTGGTATAATGGTTTTTAGTCATAGTATGAAATTAGAAACAAATTTATACTTCACAGTAGCCAAATCAGAGTTAACTAATTGTTGGAGTGATTGTTAATAAACTCATTTTTTAAAAAGTAAATAAAATTAACTTTAAATGCACATATTTTTTTGAATTTATTTAGAGTTTACTTTTTGGAAAATCAGGCGGTATATTAGTTAGTCGCCTACGATCAAACGTTTTTGAGAGCATGCTAAATCAAGTAAGTTAGAGGTGATTTTCTCATTTCACATAATTACTTATATTTTAATTTATTCAAATAAAATAGTTAGAAATTAACGATTCCACTTACTCTAACGTATTTTATTTAGGAAATAGGATGGTTTGATAAACCGGAGAACCAAGCAGGAGCATTAACTGCGAAACTGGCCAATGATGCTATGAAAGTGACAATGATTTCAGGTTCACAATTGGGTTTCATCATAGAAGCTGTAGCATTGATCGCTATGTCTTTTGTGGTTTCGTTCATCTACAGTTGGCAACTGACTCTCCTAATATTAGCCTTCTATCCACTTATTGTCATTGGAGGATTTTTCCAGGTAATTCGTTTCATTTGACAAGTATTTTAAAGGTTTTGAAAGATATGTGTAATGGAGGTTTCCATTGATGTTTACTAGAATGTTGAGATTAGTTCATAGTTGGTAGAGAAGCTGACTAAACTTCGTTACAATTATATGTTTGATTAAGTAGCGACAAATATATTTATATAGTTTGATTAAAACTTCTAGAACTAAAGCAACACATTTTGAATAAGTGGGATCAATTTATATTCCATGAATCTACAATTTTACACAAGCATTATTTCATGTGTTGTAAGTGAGGTGAATGCTAAAAATGGACATCACATGTTCTGAATCCTTTACTGATTATTGGCCTATAAGTTGATCGGTTCTACAAAGTGTGGATTCTGTATCACTCATTATCTTTGTTAAAACAGACGTTCATCTGAGAATGTACCGATGATATAACACCTGGTTTTATCATCATAGATAGTTAAATATAATTTGTAGAATGTTCTTTATACATGCCAGTTATCATACGTACCATATATTCAGAGACGTAATATGAAAAACAAATCGTCAATATTTGTGACAGATTCAACCAATGACGCTCATTCTTTTATTATTATTATTAGCTTTATTCAATATTATAATTTTGGTACAATATAGAATTCTCAGCGCAAAGTATTTCAACAAGTTTCCGTTTCTTTCTTCTTGGTCGGTCCTGGCGATAAATATTGAGGGATCGCCAGTTAGATGTTAGCACTTCAGTGAATGAACAACTGAATAATGTACATTCTTTTCGTTGTATATTGCCAGCAACCATATTGTCTCTTATTGAGTTTTCTGTAACTTTGACAACGAAAGGTTGTACACTTTTCAGAAACGCAGCAGAATAGGTTATGCGATTAATAAACATAATGATATATTAAAACAAACAACAATAGATAACTTGTTGAAATATCTAGATGGCAGGAACAGGTAGCCCAGATGCTCAAGCAGGCCGCCCTTATTCTTAATGATAACCGAGTATATGTCCACATCACAGAAAACATTTAAGCTGAGAGTTTGGGATACCTTGCTCCATCCATTGAGCATACAAGTACCAACCTAAATTTGCGTTTTGTTTGGCACATAAAATGCATTCAACCCTAACAACTCTTAACCAAACTAAATGGCTGAAGTCATATACAATTAGTCAGCACTTGTCCTTTTAGTATGGATATGACTTGATGTAAGTTTGAAATAATTATCCAAATTCATTTATTTCACCATCTTATCCAGATGCGAACACTTTCAGGAAGTAGTAATATTCGGAATGCTAATGAAGCAATGAGAATTGCTCAAGAGGTGACTGGCTCAAGCTACACAGTTACTGCATTTACATTAGAAGATTACTTCTTTAAACGTTTTGAATCTCATGCAGTTGAAAATCTGAAGTGAGTTTTGAAAAAAATACTCGTGACTTATATTGGGATTATTAAAAAATTTATTGTTGGCGTTTACATCCGGAAAGAAGGAAAATATAGCTTTTCCTTATCAAACTTACACTTTTCTAGCAAAACCGAATTCATCGAATCATGCGTACGATCAATGTGCGGATCAGCGAATTTCAATGTGTAATTTTACATTTATCTAATTGCTTACAATTCATTGTACTTTGTCTAGTAAATTACCATTCTAATTTTTTTAAAACTTACGTCACTCATTTTCTGGAACAAAGACGTGACAAACTGATTAACACTGATAACTTTACGAGTCTAAAATAACTAGTTTCAATCGTTTTCCCACTACAATTTTGTAGATTGAAGGGTTTCTAAGTTGAGTTTGATAGAATCCTTTTTTAAATGCCTTACCACATCAATTTTATTACAAGAAAATAAAAACAAACATTATACAGGGTATGTAAAACCACCCTAGCCTACTGAGTATATTGTTGGATGAAATTATTTGCATTAATGGTATCCATTATTGTGCAAGTTTCTTTAGAGTACGAAATGTCATGTGGATGCTTTGAAATACACCAATTTTATTACTATGAACAATACTTAATAATATAACAATTATACCTGTGAATATTCATTTGATTCAGTATTATTATTCTTTCAGTTTGTCTGAAGTTCATGATGTATTCTAAGATTGAATACTGAATGAAAAAAAAACAATAATAATTTATTTTGCTCAGGACAACTTATTTTCAAACAAGTTTCCAGAAAAATGTAAACATTTCACTATGATTTTCAACAAATATTCAGTCACTTTTGTAATGATTTTGTTGCTTTGTTATAGTGTCTTATTTACTTAAAATGAAGTCATATTATGTTCAGGTGGAGGATATTTATACATAGTGTGAGAGTAGTTATTCTATACTGATTACTAATTATCATAAACAAAACTTTACATAAACATATAGAAGAGGTGGATATTAGCTATCAGTGGATAAAGGGACATGTGTTTATTTCTATTTGAGACTAAGTAGTTGTATGTACTTATGTACATTTTCGAGAATTCGTACTTGACTCAAACTCATTTCCTGCTGAACTACTGAGTTCAAATGAATTTGGACTACTTCGGCGGGAATAAAGCATAGTTTATCTGTAAGGATTTACATCTTGCCGAAATCTGATTGATAACCTCAAGTGAAGATTTTATGTATAAATCTTCTTTTTCTGTTTTTTTCCTAAGAAATAACTTGAAAACGATATTTTTAAATGCCTTTATGTACGCTATTGCAGAAAGTGTATTGTTGTTCGCAGTAGCTGCCGCGTATTCACTCGGTGCACACTTGGTTTCAACAAAAGCAATAACGGTTTTAGCAGTGTTCAGGTAAATTGTTTCATCTTCAATTCAGATCAGTTACCTTTATGGATATTAGAGTATTGAATGTAATTATTTCATGTTTTGTTGATTTTTATACTATAATTCAGCAGTGCACGAAGGAAGCCCAAAGTATCCCACTATTCAGTTATCACATAAATTATCTTGTCATTGTGAGTTTCAACGAAATCACGAAAGTATGCTATTCATTCAACTGAATGAATGAAAAATGAGACTTGAGATATGAGTTATCCTAATGCATAACACTTGATGAATATTGGTCCTTATTCTAGTTTATGAGACTACTTGCTCACTAATTCACTGAAATTTGTATACATGCTTAAATACCAACTCTAACTCCAAACGTTGGTCCGCTTTTTTTAGCCAAGTATTCACTTTGAGAAAAGGAGTTAGAAGATTATGGGTTATTCCTTTAATATCTGTGTACTTCATGATTCACATTCATTTAAAATAAAGAAAAATAACTGAGTAAGAGGCATGAACTCCTTAACTTCAGTTTATTGGTTGTTAATCTACTTCGCTAATGGTATCCTGAAGCCAGGAATAAGTTAACGCCCAATTGAAAGGCATTATAACAGACTTATTTAGGTTCATTGCAGACTCATTTTTAAAAGAGACCAAGTTCTCTCAATTGTCTACGTGTACCAGAATCCTCATACTTAAGTCTGCGATATTATTTTATTACCTTAAAATGTTTGAGATCTGGTAGACTAGACCAGAGTACTAATCCACTTAAATTATTAGACGTATTAGAAACTTCATCGACAAAGTATTACAACTTCTACGAATCACTCAACAACGTTTAAGCTACTACTCAGCTAAAGATTCGTTTAATTAATTTTCAAGCAACGAAAGTGACCCCATTATATCACTAAAGAGACGAAGAAAATTCGTCTGAAAATATTTCTTTCCGACTATACTATTTACCGAATTATATTTGTGGTTATTTGCTGATAATCAAAAGAAAGAGATCAGATCACAACGTATTTTTAAGTTTTCAGTATGTCAGAAAGGTTGCGAAGTAATGCAAATGTTAAAGAAACATCATAAATCACTAGTGAATAGAAGTAGTTTTAATGAATAAGGGAAATCCCACCATTTGAACACTTGTCCTTCTAATGAATCTTTGTTGTTCTGATATTTGCGATTTGCAAGCTTCTAAACATTGTTTGTAATCTGTTGATCTCACTCTGATTTGTTTGACGATGGTAATAAGAAGCCAAACACGGTTTGCGTTGAAAGAATTCATTTCAAGCATTTGTTTATCCAGGTGGACATTCAGATTAGAAAGCGGGAAATTGAAGCTAAGCGGAGCGGAGATAGTGAGTGGGCCAACTTATTTTAATAAAGCGTGACTCAATATTTGTAGTCAGACAAAAAGTTACAGACACATAATGAATAGGGTGAGCAATTAACACATATGCACTCGTATGAAAATAGTCAAGATTGATAAGCGAATAATTAACAATGTCCAAATATGACTTGAAAAGAGTGGATAAGTCAGTCTGTAGCTAGAATAACCCATATGGTTTTTACATGGAACCAAACACCACACACTATGAAATATCATGCATGTGAATTGTGACATTTTAAAGCCAGAACCAAATATGATCAGGAATTTTTTAGGTTTCTACAGTGTTTTTCTGTTATGAAATCAAAATGAATACTTTGTCGAATAGTTACTCTTTAAAAAAATGTTAGAAACAAAATCTTTTGGATGCATCTTTTGTTAAAAAATTAAAATGAGTTATAATTACTAAAATAGTCTACTATGAAATGATAAACTGTTTAATACATATGATAAGATTTATAAACAATATGCTAATATTATATTGGACGGATATTAACAGGCCTAAGTTTCACATGTGTGTGTAAATCAAAGAACCGTCACTGGTAATGATTCTGAGTACATCAGAGGTTGCTTTTAGTTTGAATGCTAAAAGCTCCAATTAAGAGGTTTAATCATAATAGTTTTCATCACGATGTTTAATTATTGACCAGTACACTACCTACTGCGATAATATCACTAGCATTCATGTAGTATGTGTGGTTTACAGAAAACTACACTGAACTAAATCTGAACATCAAGTTGGATAACCAAACATACATAGCTTCATTTAAAGATATTTTTGGAAAATGTGACATGAATTTTATTAACCTTAAGGTAACTTTTCATTTCTCCAGGTTTAGAACACCATAGAAAAACGTTGAAATTATAGTACGATACAAGGATGAAGTATAAATAGCATCACTAAACAATCATTAGGGTGGTATACAAAAAAAACTAACTGAAATGTTTTGTATTTTATTTATGATCGCACGCAATTCCTGTTCTACTGCCTTACCACCCAAAATCCTGGGTAGTGTGTTAAAAATGTATATTTTAATACCGTAATCGGATTAGAATATTCCAATCACTTGGCAATTACCTAATTATGGTAAATATCAGTGAAAATGTGTCATAGTTTTCAGACGTTTTCCTTGTTAAATTCCATAAATATTTTATCAAGCATTTGTCTCAGAAACTCGATGCAATCACTTTGATTATATTATATTATGACATTTCAATTAAAAGGGTTTTCGTAACTATCCATTTGAGTGCTCAATCTCTTGGCCGTACAGCTACACTAGTTTTGGGTACTAAAGCAGCAGGTTCAGCTGCGAAATGTATTCTTGAAATTCTAGACAGGAAACCTCTTATTTCAACTAATATAGGGAGTGTACCACGTGAAAAATTCAAAGGGAAAATTTCGTTCAAGAACGTTGATTTCAAATATTTTTCTCAAACTGAGAGACGGGTTCTTAAGGTAAGTTAATGTAGTAAGTGAAGAACAATAATACAGTGTTACAGAAATTTATTTTCGTTCGAATTGAATTTGTTCTAATCACTGTTCAGAGATTCTGAACATGTTTAGTTCAAACTAGATCATCATGTTAACAAAAGAGATAGGAATAAGATAAATTCGTAGTTTTTGTTAAATGAAAATCTCAATCTATTAAAAAGATATGTCTTGCAAATACAACCATACTGAATGCAAACGAATTAATTTATTCACACTACAATAGAGTTAAGTAGCAAATCACTTAAAGGCAGTATTATAGAAATCTTTATATGTTAACGTAATTACTCTGCATAAATACTGAATTAATATTCATAATAGGTTTAATTATTAATTTTAAAAGCTTTCTTAAGCGAATGAACCACTGATTCGAATTGTATGTGATGAAAATTCCAGTAATAAAATACAACTATTATTGTACTTGACATTACTACACTTTGCAATAAACAATATGCTTTATTCAGAGAGATAGTAACTTTTGACAGTTTGCAAAACACCACCACCACAGAACACTGTATTTGAGAGGATAATTATATCAAATGTCAATATTAGACACTGGTATAAATAACGAAATTATTCGAAGGGTTTACGTTAAAAAGCGTCTCACTGTAAGCACTGATCAGATTATTGATTAGATCTGTATGTACTTAAGACAACCAGTTTTGGATTTTCAAGATTATATGATCCTGTTTTCTAATAGCTATTTGTAATATACTTGTCGTTTACTTACCTAATGAGTTTTTGAAAATTTTCTGCATCTTTCAGAACTTTTCACACACTATTGAGCCTGGTCAAACAGTCGCATTAGTTGGACCTTCTGGGTGTGGAAAATCAACACTACTTCAGTTAGTATTGAGATTCTACGATCCATCATATCACGGTCCCGATAGTGGTGTGTTTTTCGATGATATAAATATTAGGGATATTGCACCTAGTTGGGTTAGAAAACAGGTTGGTCTTGTTTCACAAGAACCCACTTTATTCGATCTCACGATAAGAGAGAATATTGCGTATGGAGACAATAGTCGAGAAGTGAAGATGGAAGAGATTATTGAGGCAGCACGTGCAGCTAACATCCATGATTTTATTACAACACTTCCAGAAGTGAGTGAAAATATTCGGTTTGTTAAACTCACTAAAAATTACGCTTCAGGTTTATATTTTCATTGTATTGTCAGCTTTCATGTTATTCGAATTGTTAAGAATATTTTCAAATATATTAAATAACTGTTTATAACTTCCACTGTTTCTAAGCAATATGAAACCAAAGTTGGACAACGTGGATCAAAGCTATCTGGAGGACAGAAACAAAGGATAGCCATTGCACGAGCTTTAGTTCGTAAACCTGCTCTACTTCTGTTGGACGAAGCCACTTCAGCTTTGGACAATGAGAGTGAGCGGATAGTTCAAGAAGCCCTTGATGCTGCTATGGGGTCGAGAACATCATTAGTTGTTGCTCATCGCTTGTCCACAGTTGTCAATGCTGATTTGGTAGTAGTTTTACGGGATGAACGAAAGATAGAGTCAGGACCTCCAGCAGCACTGCTCGCTAAGAAAGGAGCTTTCTATGCTTTGCACCACATGGAGAGTTAAATCATCTCATCAAACTCATTCATCATTACACATCATTTTGGTGTTTTTGATTTTGGTATAAAATTATTTCAAATAATTTGTTTCTTTTAAAACTGATGCTTGGTAGGGAATGGGGTAAATTAAGTTTCGTGTGTTAGATTATTTTTATATATTTCCTAATTTTAAGCCTAAATTGCTGTTTACATTATGATTTTAATAAAATCAAGATTTTAGCAGTTTTTCCAATCCTTTTGAGTACTTTTTCAATTTTTATAATTTGAATCACAGACCTTTCATTGTCAGATCATTATTTGAAAATCCGGAAGAACTGGATGGCAGTTTTGTCCTAATATGGGACTCTTCATTTGTGCTCATTAAAAATTCGGTCTCCGAGATCTAAGTTCTGTTTACTATTTATATTTCCATATAATTATAATAGACACATATTAGAACGACATGGCTGTTCAATACTTCCAGGTTTTCAACAATTGTCTAATAAAGGACATTTTGCAATTTAAACTTATATATTTTTAATTATCAGGAGCAATTTTATGACAAAAAATAAACATTTACCAGTTTAGTCTCAACACAGTATATCAAACTGTACAGGTGCTTTTGAAAATACAAGTTGTGTACCATGTATTCTCTACAACCCTTATTTCATAGTTAATGTTAAACATACCAATGACAAATAGATTATAGCTATTAGATATTTATAGAATCTCTGGAGTTGACGTTAAATGCTTGTAACGTTTTGCTGGTCAGTGGGACCTAAGCCTCAGTGAGATTATCAAAACTATCTGAAATAATTAAGGTCAGAAATAAGTCTGAACTACACATCTGTTGGGACACGCTCACTGTCGACTTCTGTTCAGGTTATGAATAGAAGGAATTCATTGTGAATTATTTTCAAATATTGATGCATAGTGTTTTTTGTCAGTGTTTGTATTCTACACCTATGAAATTTCACTGAACATTTGACGTCTTAGTTTATAGTCAGGATAGTACTCGACTTTCTTGTCATAATGAAACTACGCTTCGGACTTTGGTAATTATGTTGTGGTGTTTCATTGTTTTTACAGATGGCAAAGAGAAGGTAATAGCTTTGATAGCATTCACAACATAGGGACATAAATAAAATCAGAAGTGTAAGCGGAAATGTTTGCGACCCAAATGTTTTTTCTAAGTAAAGTATACCTTGCTTACTAACCATAAACTTTTACATCCTAACTTTATTTTTATGATGGGTAAGTTAATTTACATCACAAAACGTCTCTAAAGATGGCCTCTTTTTGAATTGTATCTTAAATGTCCAATGTAAATGTAAGTTTTGCCATGTAGGTGTTTTATTGCTTTTGAAAACGTGAACCGACTTGTCTTACCTCAACAGAACTACAACAAGATGTAATGAAATCCATAGGTCACAGCTACTGTTATGGAGTAAATTAAATGAGTATATCGTAAAACTAGTGTGCTGATGAAATAATTATTTTAAAGCCTCAAACAAACAGAGAAAGCTGAACAGAATTTTTAGTCAATTTCTACTAACACACAATCTCATTCATGTTGACTTACTACAATTGTTTCTCAGCAACAAATACCGACGCCCAAAAATATAAGTACTTACTCATAAACAACTGTTTTTTTCATAGTTAAATAGAAAACGTTTAGGAAAATAGCGTATAATTCTCATTGAAATTTAACTTTTAAGATCATAAAATTTAAAACAAAATATTTGCTAATCATATTTTATTTTGATCATTTCTTACTATTTCATTTAGAATATTTATATAAAAATGAAAGTTACCATTAATGATTTATTCTAGTATCTATAGCTCAATTTAATGATATGAACTAGTTCACTGATAAAATAATTAGATCAAATTTAAACTGTTCAATCACAAATACATAACGAATATAATTACTATACAGTGAGTTTTGTTAATATAAAAATACAAGAATATATACATTGTAACTAATAACAATTCAATGATGGATAGTGGCTAGCAGTGGAATGCAGTTTGACGCGCGTTTCGTCCTATTTGGGACTCGTCAGTTGGATGTGCCTACATCTCATAGTTGACGCTCAATCTAGGACTCGAGTCTCAGAGCGAATCCTTGCTTACAAAAAGCTTGTGAATTAAGGCAATATCGAGGCATACACACAGTATGCACATATGCCAATAACAGACTGATCAATTGCAGTATTAAATCTCAATGAGAAGATACAAGGCAAATAATACCAAGTGAACTGAATAACAATTCATATTTAATATAATACAATTTCATTTATAAATATGTATATATTTTTAACAAGTATATAATTACAATAAAAACTAATGAAATATTTTTATAATAATTGGTTAAATAACGAAGTTGCGCCACCGTACATCATTGTCTTTAGTGAGCTGATATCTCACAACTACACTGGTAACGGCTTCTCACTAGAACTCCAGGAGTATCTCCTGAAGTCAGTCACTAGTAAGCAGTTGATTATTATCAGAATGGGTTTTGTGGAGAATTTTTTTAGAAATTTCACTGATTAAAATCATGAGTCAATTGAATCTAGACCACCATGAAAAACATGGAAGCACTATACGGCCGTTTCATCCTAGTATGGGATTTTTTAGCAGTGCCCATCCACAATTCCGTACCTCGCGGGATTCGAACTCTGCACCTAAGAGAAAGGCTATTTTAAATAATATAAATTATTAGTTAAAATAAAAATTCAAATTAATTAACTCGGTATATACTTTTTATTTATTATTTAATTCACTTCAATATTCATTACAATTTCAATTTAGAAAATGATAACTATTAACTAACTTTCTTTTTTTAATTCTATTAATTTATTATTATTCGGCTTTTTGTTTCCTTATTGATTTAATTACATTATATAACATTATTATTATTATTATTATTATTATTATTATTATTATTATTATTATTATAAATGATGCACTTTTGTATTGATAATATAAATTTGATATGTTTTATTGTATTTAAACTATTATAATCACTTTTCCAAACACTTTTTTTTCTATTCATCATTATAAAATATATTACTTTAATCATGTTAATTACAATTTAACTCAATGTTACATGAATAAATTAATGACAGTAAATTAATAGGAGTTAATACACCAATGAATTAGTTGTTAATAGATTTATTTATTTGTGAATATTCAACAGAAAAAAAGCCTATCCCTAAAGGATGTTTATCAATGATAATGATATATATAAACAAGTATATATATATATATATATATATATATATATATATATATATATATATATATATATATATATATATATATATATATATATATATATATATATATATATGTTTATTATGGTCGTTTTACATTGGATAAGTTATTACCATTCATTGAAAATAAGGATAATCTTTATTTAATTTATCAATCAAAATAGTATACGATTGATTTCATTTAAAAATACAAAAAAAAAACGAAAGGATAATGGTTATTTATTTCTTTCTCTTTTTTTCCATACCGATTCACGTCACTCACATTGAATCATTTGCATAAACAGTTATGTTGTGTGTTTTTTTTTCTTTCTTTCTTTTCTTAGATTTTTCATTATTTCACTGATTATTATAATTAATTTTGTATTCATTAAAATATTTAGAAAAAAAAAATAATGCATTCACAATATAGTTTTGTTTACTGTATATATGAAATTCAGGACAAATTGTTTGGTATATGATTATGTATGTTTGCCTTGTAACCAAATAATATGTTCTTATTAATTTGTCAATTTGTATAAAATATATATGGAATAACTTATAGAAATTATACTTTGATCTTCATTTAGTAATTGAAAACTTATTTATAGAGATTATGAACTAATCTAATAAGATAATTATGAAAAACTTGATCATGCATTAATGAATTGTTTTTATTGTAGTATAAAACTATCTAACAATACTAAATCACTATCTTATCAAGGGTCTAATACTTTCAAATTTTCAATGGTTATCTAATTTAGATTGGTTTATGATTTCAACAACCTCAATAACTATAATTGAACAAAGAATATACTGTTATTTGTTTGAAAAAAAAGATAAACAAATTGAATTTTGTATGGTTGAGAAAGAACTTGGAAATGTTTACATTTTAGAGTAGAAGAAATTATATATGCAGAAACTACATTGTTTGTTTTTATGGTTTATTCTATTCATGAATGAGTTTTGTGGAGATTTTTAGGAAATTTCACAGGTTGAAATCATGAGTCAGTTGAGGCTAGATCACCATTGAAAACTCATTCTGATAATAATCAACTGCTCACTAGTGACTGAATTCAGGAGTACCTCCTGGAGTTCTAGTGAGAAGCCGTCACCAGTGGAGTTCAATCAGGTCTGTTGTGAGATAGTAACTCACTGAAGACAATGGTGTTCGGTGGCGCAACTTCGTGGATTGGTTAAAGTTAGACATTAACACCGTTGGATGCCGGCTCAGTGGTCTGGTGGTTAAGTGCTCGCGCGCGAAGCTAGTAGGTCCTCGATTTGAATCCCGCGGGGGGCGGGTTCGTGGATGCACACTGCTGAGGAGTTCCATACTAGGACAAAACGGCCGTCCAGTGCTTCCAGGTTTTCAATGGTGGTCTAGCTTCAACCGACTCATGATTTTAATCGGATTATATTGTCTAAAAGTGTCTTCCTGTATAAGTTTACTGGATACTCATCAATAAATGCTCAAGTAATCGTCACACTAACACTGTAGAATAAATGCCATTTTCCTTAACAGTTCTCATTACTCTACGAAATGTTCTGTTCACTTTAAAAAAATATTCATCTTTATTTGAATTGATATGAAAATTTGTTAAATGATTCAGTAATTTATTCCATATTGATGGCTTTCAGCGATCTTAAAAGTCAGGAAGTAATGAAGTAGTACGCAGATTTTATGGAGTTTTAAACTTAAAAAGCATGATAAGATAACAGTGGATCAATTGTTATAGCTTGATACATTAAGCGGACAATCATAGGACCGTGACCCAACTAAACTTTAACTCCTAACAACAAACTTATCCTTTAGCTCATGGATCTAACACTCCTAACTCTAATATCCTGACCATTAAAAATTACTACACAAGAAAATAATCATTTAACCTTTACAAAATACAAGGTGTGGTCAAAATCAGGATATCCAGCAACGATCCATGATGACGTTTTAAATTCATACCTATATTTGACACTGGATATATTGATTTTGATTGGTTTCTAGAGGTATAATTTTACCGATAACTTTTATCAGACATTAATTCTGATAAATTCTTTTCTCATAAGTTAATTGAAATATTTTATTATTTTAAATAACTTAAAATCAATCTTGTAGAAAATCTACGACAGTTTCTGCTTAATTCTAAAAGAATATCAGAAAATCGTTTCTAGTCGATCATAGACTGGAACATCGTATTTAATCGATTTATTATTTCGATGACAACTAATTTTATGGTCAATTAACTTATTCCTTTATCAAAGAATTTTATGACAGTGATATATTTATGAGACTTGTAAGAGATTTTTTTGATTGGTTGATATCAAGTGAACATCTGAATAATTGGTAAGTTGGTTTAAAAGTTTACTATTCATATCCATTGAGTGTTAAACCTTTTGACAATGTATGTTGTCGTGATAGGCGATGTCCGAAATCTGATACTGATGCACGACATGCTATACGTTAGCTTCCCCAAAAAAAACTGACTACTTGAGCGAGAAAGTATGTTGGGCTACCGAATAAAATGTAGAAACACTCATTCATGTCACTCTAATTCTTAAGAAATTGATCCGTTTCTTAGCCAATGAAATGCATTTGTCCTTTAGGTTACTTTGATTGCCGTTGATTGACCTCATTGGGCTACCTCTGATTGGCTCTTCATATGATATATTCCTTTAATTGTCTTAAAAATAGGTTATTGTTACTGAATTATTTTTTGTTTTTTTTAAAAACAGCCTTCCAGGGTATTCATTAACAGATGTGCTTTTTATTCAAGGTATTAAGATGAAGTTTTGTGTGCAGTTAAAATGCTATGTTTTGCTTTGATTTTCATAACTATTTTTTTCATTAAGGTACTATCAGTATATCGACAAACATGGTACTTTTTTCGAACCTTAAAACCAACGAATATCGTCACTATAACGCGGAAAAAAAAACCCGACAATTGACGTGATATTTTCAAGGTTGTTAACCGTAAAGCGAAACAAACAAACAAACAGAAACTGTTTTGAAGGACCTAAGGTATTAATATATGAAATCTTTACTGAAAGATAAGAACATGACTAGTTGATATATAGTGTGACAGATTGATTTTAGAAATGTTATCTGTAGAATTCTTACCAAATCTCATAGAATCGTAAGTTATGGTTTAAACAGTATTATTTTGTGATTAGGCTAGTCTGTTCATATCATGAGAATTGAGGACTTAAGTATTTTATCTGCTGAATTCCTAAACTTGCTGTACAAAATATTTTAAATTCATCATTCATAAACCCAATACTGTTCGTCGAATTTGCCGATAAACAGCTACTGAAAATATTTAAGAATCGTTTTCTGTGCTTTCTGTGTCTAAATAATGTGAAATGATGTTTAAATATGTGACTACTAAATCTTACA